TGAGCTGGAATTGGGAAAAGTATTGAGAATAATCTTTGAGAAGAAATTCCTGTTATTAAATATATAAATGTTAAAATGATGGTTTATTAAATTCCTTTTTACTTAGCAGAACATGCAAAACATTTTTGAAATAAGATTTCGCTATTCGTCGTCGAGGAAAGAAGAATTCAGAACCCCAATGTACAGAACTGGATATTCAAAAAGGAGAACAATAACGCTAAAAAAAAATTTTTAAATTATATCTGTGATTGCAATGCACAAATAACAGAAAAACAAGAAAAATAGTAAAAGGACTGCGAATTACTCACCTACTGACTCACTCACTAAAAAAAAACCCACAAGCGTGTCTCGATATAAAATTTAGACCTACTTTCGGCAATCAGACCAATTGCGCAGTGAGGGTTCTTAATCGTGCCAACGCCTGTCCTGACACTTGACACATGACATGGGTCCTCCGCTTTTAGGAGTTTATCCGAAGGATCCATGACTTTCACTTCTTGGCGAAGGAAAAGTCAATATCTTTGTCTACGTTTTAGGTATGGCGCGGCACGGTGAACGAGAATCGAACCCGGTCCTCCCGATCAAGAAATGAACGCTCTACCACTAGGCTACTGTGACCGGTGTGAATCTGATATATGTACTGTAAGTGGTAGGTATAATCCAATTCTATCGAAGAAATAGGGTTCTTATTTGTTTGTATGTTTTACGTCTTTTCTTGAATTTTTCATTCATATTGAGATGCCACCGCCGTTGAAGGCTGCAAATTTAGAACTGTACTCGACACTTAAGCAGTAAGGGATATTTTTCTTGCATGTAACGACTGCGAAAAGGGACCTCAGTTTATACGGATTCATCCAAATGATCGCTTTCCACGTCCAGTAGTGGATTCGAACCCGTGAGGTAACTACTTACTCAGCGAATCTAGAGCAAACGTTCTAACCACTGCGCCACGCGGACTGTGTTTTTTTTTATTCGAATCATATGAAGGTATTGGCATAAAACTAAAATTATTATAATTCTAAATCTTATGTTAAGTTTATTTGAATTGAAGTAATTGAAACCCATTGCGATATTGGAGAACAATTAATTTCTTATTCATTGATAAAATCACTGGAGACATTTATTTAGTAAAGAACAAAGATCACTGAGGGCCCTTTTTGGCCCTGTGAATTTCTGAAAAACTGAAACTGCTTAGTTTGAGTGACAGTGCATTAAATTTCATTTAGACATTTGGCGATTGCGAATCTACCAAAAATGACGTAATTTTCTGGCTAGTCAATGCATTATGACGTCATGAAATGCGTCATTTTCCTAATATCCTGAACAATTCTACAAAAACAGCCAATTTTTAAAGCTATTTCTCTCTGATCTAAAATATGCAATTATTTATATATATTTATAAATATTTTTGAATGGTTGTTTATATATATATATATATATATATATATATATATATATATATATATATATATATATATATATATATATATATATATATATATATATATATATATATATATATATATTGTTGCGGCTGACCAAGCGCCTAATCCATAACTTTAGGAATTTCCACTAAAGACAAGTCAAATAGTGTTTCAAATATATGTATTATACATAAAAGTTACAACAGATCAGTTCACTGGAATTCGACTTCAGTGGGTTCCTGGTACGACATGTACGCACTCCCTCTCTCGGGACCTACTCAAGTAGAAACAATACACAATATCAAGTTACAAGTTTTTACACAAATGATTTACCATACATTTACAAATCATTTAGCTTAGCACTTAGCATAGCATATAGCATTAAGCAGTACTGAGTTTATACACACTTGCACTTAATTACCCTGTACACTTATATATCCTACACATACTCAAGTCACAATACACTCAAATATATGCAAAATGCGTTTTTGAAACGTTACAAAACGGAACACCTTACTATAAAACCAGCGAACATTTACTACTAACAAAACTATTTATAGAAACGCAAACTTTACAAACACTATTAACACAATAAACAATTACAACTTTTACTGAATACTAAACACTATAAAAGCATGCTATTTGAACAAAGTTATCCAGGATCTTGAAATTAACAAAAACTGAATTAAAAGAATAAATAAAACTTGTACTCACCCCAGAAGCTGAGTGTCTGTATCAAAGGTATTTCATGCTTATGAACTTTTATAAAAATGAACTCAAATGACTATGGAATTCGCACTATCATATTAACCATTTGAAACCCGTGCATGTTGTAGCGTAACACGGCAAGAAGAGAAAGAATTACTCAGCTGTGTCCATTAAATAGCCTTAAAGAAATGGGGCTCCATAAAGGATTCAAATAAAAGAGGTCCCCTACAGGATAACTGAGTATTATGCAAATGTAGATAAAATCATATATATATATATAGAGTAAATGTGACATATATATATATATATATATTTATATATATATATATATATATAAAGCACTAAAAATGACCAACGACACGGACAATAATAATTGTCAAATTTTGGGGACGACCTGTCCCTTCCTCAGGACAAAGAAAAAAGTTAGGAAGTCATAAAAACAAAGGAAATACAGAAGCAAAAACAACTAGCATTACTACTAAACTACCAAACACTAAATATTTACAATGTTACATGTTTAATTTGGAGTTTATAAACAGTTGTGAACAAAGAAATCCGGAGCGCTATGAATTGCGTCCGGTCTATCGGGTGTACTCTGGTGAAGATTGATTTACATAATTGAACGAATTAATTATTATTAAATATTATATATATATATATATATATATATATATATATATATATATATATATATATATATATATTACTTTATGAAATCGTTGCGCTTGCTTGAAGCTCTTTTGTTATTCAACCTGGTTTCGGATCGTATTAAAGAGTCCATTTAAACATCGGTTTGCTACAGGAACTCTGATCATTTTTAATAATCGTTATCTTAACTTCACTCTCGATAGTGCTTTGTAATGTTTGGACTTAAAAACATTTTATTAATTTGTGCGACGAACTGTGTCATATCTGAAAATCCTGATAACATCAACAATATACAAGTAACCGCACCAGGCCAATGTATCAAGACAAACAAAGTAATAAAAGTCTTTACTATCATTGGACAAAAACAGTGTGTTCGAAAATGTTTACGGAATGGTCAATGTCAATCTGTTAACTATCGAAGACAGCAACTCAATTGTGAACTAATTGCAGCAAAATTCGGAGATTCGGAAACTTCTTTAATTCTGGATTCAGAATGTGACTATATTGAAATGGAAAATCAGCCAAAGGTTAGAATTGATTTAGCATTGTCCCTCGGGCACCATAAAGAAGCCCTGTAAATCTTTCTCTTGTGTTGACTGTGGAATTAATATATATGATGAAGATGAGGGGAACATTGTCTTCTAACAGAATCACAAAAAATTTTAGTATATTGTTTTATTAAGGCAGATATGAATTTAAGTATAATTTAAAACAAATGTTGAATCTGATAAAAATAAATTTGAGGCACCGAGGGCAAAATATATCACACCATCACCTCAGTGCATTCCTTTAATTGAACTGGACATGCATTGTTTTCGATCGTCAACTAACCTTATTTGTGTAGTAGAATTCTGCTATCACCTACATACAATGTTTGTGTCTTCTTAGTATTTGATACTTAAGAACATGCTCTGATAATGATCAATTCTCAACCTGGGCTGGCTATTGGCGAATAAGTTGAGGCTTACAAGATTTCAACAACACCTTTTAAAGTGAGTAAGCGTCTAGGATTAGGCTGTCCGTAAAATATCACAGTGTACCAGCTGTAGCTTCTTCTCGGAACTACCTAGATATGACCTCATAATAGCATATAACATCAATTAACAGCAAATTTGAGCCGACATGACATTATGTTTTTATTCCTTTATCCTGTCTGATATACTGCGTATTCAAACAATACCAAAAAGTAAAATGTGAAATGTCCCCATTACACGTCCGTATATAGAATTAGAATTTATAAATCGTGTATATCTTAGACTGGCACTGGTGATGAGTAAGGATAAATTGAAGATATGCTGCGTGAATATATAAGCGATTTATATGCTCTAACTGAATCTTGCTGGGGGATGAAGAGTAAAAAATGCCCTCATGTATTTTGTTTAGTTGAAGTAAAATTCAGACTTGCCCGAAGCACTTTATATATACAATCAAATACGAAAAATTGACTTGTGTAACAAAACGTTCAAAAAATTTTGTTGATCACTTGTGCCGATGCAATGTGCAACATTGCGGGAAAATGTGATCAACAAAGTTATGTGACATCACCAAAAAGGTTTTATTATAATATCTGATAAAAAATTAAACTCTCTTCGCATATTGGCTCTTCATGTATCTAAGGTTTGCAAATTGAAATCAAAAGCTAGTTCTAAATAAAGGATAATGTTTCTAATGCATATTATAACTTCGGACGGCCTTAAACACAGCTGTGAATACATAGGGCTAATGGTGGATATGACCGATTGACAGGGGATGCTTACTCTTTTTAAGTATCTTATCCCACCTTTGGAATTTCCGGGGAGGGGCCCCTGTTCACAGATTTGTATTTTTGTAGTATTTTTTTTAGATTGATAACTGTCCCTTTATCTTCACCTTTTTTCGATATTTTCATCAGGTTGTAGATTTCAAGAAACCCAGAAAAATAAAAGAAGCTGACAAAATTGTTACAGCTGAAATTCTGTGTATTTTGATTACAAATTAGATTTCTTTCTGTAAATTCATTAGTGTTACATGTAAGGTAGATTTCTATGTGAATGTAGAGAATATGATGAATCTGAAAATTTTAAGGAAAACTTGTCTTTATTTGTAGTTGAAAAACGCGAAATTTAACACTAGTGAAACTTTATATTTGCTAATCTTATTAAGATGTGTAATAAACTACTAGTTGGTATTTTCCAGGGGCTAGCAGGATCTTGTAAGTCAACATCTTGCAAAGGGCAGTGTTCTGCACTGAGTAGCGGAAAAACAGCCTGTATTCAAGATCGTAAGTACACTTATGATTTTCCTTGTTCTGAGCACATATTCCAAACTTTGCAAGGAGCTTTTTAAGCATTTTTGTAAAACATTTTTACATATCTTGGACACAAAATTGAAAACTGCTTACTTACTTTCAATCAAGAATAAAAACCCACCAGGCGTTGAATAATAAGGGAATTTATAATTTAAAGGTGGGGGGATCAACGAGAAATATGTTGCTATAAAAACATAGCTACACAATCTTCATCAGTAATTAGTAGATATGATACGTTCATTTCAAAATTGCAATGTACATTTGTATATGCTGCGTAAACATCGTGGAACTATTCCTAACGTAACTTATTGTGTAAATAGAATGTGGTTTCATTGCAAGATTTTAGAGCAAACACTTCCGATTAAAGAGTTGGGTACGTTAAGACCGATTTACGGCCCTGTAAAATCTGCAAAAATTAAACGCACGATTACATTCTATTAATTGTATCAATTAACTGTTAAGGTTTCTCTGTTTGTAAAATAAAAATAAATTTTTCTCAACTCACGTGCCCTTTCATTTATATAACGTTCAAAACCGGTCTAATATTCCGGAATTCCCCTATTTTGGACGTTTTCCTCCTCTTCAAGTCTATATTTCGACATGGCCGCATCCGAGTATGTATGCGAAACTTTGCAGAAAGAACAAATTCACTACGATTTTTAATATTAAAGAGAAAAAACAACCTTACAAAAGTGCGGCCACATCCGTTTTTACAAAAAATTGAAGTAAAAAGTGCTGCATTTTTGGATAGACGTCACCTTTTCTCCACAATAAAATCTATATTTTTAAAGAAATTAATTGTTTAATTCTATATCTGAAGGCTTAATTATTTTTTATTGTCTTTTAAATTCAATTCTGCATTTGAAAAAAAAAATTAATACAATTATTTATGCAAATGAAAACCATATGAACCTTTCTCAGTGAAATTTACTATGGGACATTATATGTAAATTAGTGACGCAATGCATTGAAAAATATGACGTCACAAAGAGCAATCATGTTGAAACTATGTACTTGAAACAGATTCTTCAGTCTTCGCAACTATGATAAATATTCAATCAATATTTACAGCGTGAAAAAATAATTTAACGACATAAGTTAGGATGGTTCAGACAATCAATTTACATTTAACCCTACATGTACCTCCAATTGGAACGCGCGTCTCCTTCATAATGGACATTGTCTTTATTTGACTTCAAGAAAAGATTATTTTTAACATTTTTATTGAAAATCATCAGCTTTCTTAAGTATGTTTTATTCGTTTTCAATTTATATATGTCTGGGATTCATGAATGTCAAAAGACAATAGCTAATGATTGGGGCGGGGAAAGGGGGGGGGGGAGGTAAATGGGAAGCTTGGCGTACAGCACTCACCATTTGAACATTTCTTTTCAAAACTTTTTATCCTTGTCACTGTATTGTTGCAGTTTTTATTTGACAAAATTAATTATGTCAGAAAGGATTCTAGTGTTTTATCGCATAATCAGGAAGTGTACATGACCAAATACTTCTAAATCTGCCACTGCCGACCTACATTTACTTATTGAAGGTCAAGAGCTTGGAATGGAAAAGTTCTTACATGTATTTACACTTATTAATTATATATACATTTATCATGCTGATCGGAATATTGACATCAGTGTTTTCAAGTAAATCCGGGTTTAATTTATAATTCACAAGGAATTTTAGATAATTACCTTGACCAAGTTTATAAAGCTTAAAAAACGTATACATTGGTGTACGCTTTCGGTATTTTCTATGAAAATTTAAGTGAAACATGATACAATCAACCTTTTTCATTGTTATAAATAAAGATTATCTGTTCCCAGTTCTGTAAGAAATGCAAACACGATCTTGCATTACTTGTGTACAAGACACCCCCCTTTCCGCTCCAAAATCGATGGTTTAACTCGTTATTTTTTTTTTTTTTCAGAAATTGTTTTCCTAATACATTTTTAAGGCATTCCAAGTCTTGAAATGAAAAAAAGAAAAAAAAAAGATTACTCTGTAGATATTTATCTATATAAAAAACGAATGTACATATTAACTACACGTACACTATTGTTAATCTTGAAGTAAGTGAGTATTTTTAAAAGGATTTTATCCAGATTATCCATGAAATAATACTAATATATTTCATAGGAAATATGTTTAGTATTCCAATAGATGTTCATCGGGGCTGGAGGAGCGTCCTGTCCAACATCACCTCTGTGAAAACGGTGCACATTATTATTAAATTTTAAAGATTCAACGTCTGTCTATGATGATAATCCAGAAAAAAAACAAATTAAAAGTATTTTATCGTTACTACAAGGACAAATGCACAGAATTGCGAAGGAAATGCCCCAGAGAGTTAATGTACCCAAAGGAAGTGATAAAATTATCATTGTCACCGAAATATATCAAATATCTTGCCTACGGCGGTGTAACATGTAAACATAGGGAGGAGTTCTAAAGAAAATCTTTATCTATTTTAATGCAGTTGTTGTCTTAGTAAATGACTAGATGTATCGTCTCGCAATTCATGTCAGCAGTTTGTTAGGTATATTTTTTTAAGATTTTTTTTTTTTATCAGACACTTACATGAAAAAGAAACATAATCAAGCTAGTGTTATAATCCGGGAATGGCAAGGATAACTCTATAAAGAAGCAATGTGACGTGTTTTGCGCAATGTTCCCACAAGTAACAAAATAACACCATATTTCGTATAATTTGATAACTGAACTAGAAATAAAATCTCTATGTAGCTTATAAAAAGGGACGTGAAAGTGAATTTTGATTCTTCTATGTGAGTGTTCTGTTATTCTGCATTTCGATTATTTGTATTTTGTCTCTATGTAAATAGAAGTGGGGGGAGGGGTTACTGATAATCAAGTTATACATGTACTATAATGAGTACCAATAAAAAATTATATCAAGAATTTGATTTAAAGATAAATACACCCCTTTCCATTTCCTTTGGCTCCCCACTCGACTGTGACCGTTGGTCGATCTTTTACTGATCGATATCAATGGAAGTGGCTGCCGTTTCATGCTGCATTGCTTTGAAGAGGACATGCGCATATTTTCATAGCTGACGTGGATTAACTCTATATGTAAATCATACACATAATATTATATCCTTATTTTTATAACTTTTAGTTTTTTAGGGAATTATGTCAGAGTGTACTACAGGCTTCTGAATCCCTTCCCGAGAATTCGTGTGCATTTCCTGTCGAATTCACTACGCAGATTTAGGCATATAATTTTCGATTTTGTTAATCAAATAATGAGTATGTACATGCAAAGTACTGTATTCGTCTCTAAAATTAAATTATTAGCATTGGCTATATAAAATATTTTGTTCGTCGAAAATTTTTTCAAGTTCTGTAACACAAGTTATGATAAGGCTAGCTGCAATAATGTAGCCCTGTCCGATTTTTGTTTTGTTTTGTTTTGTTTTGTTTTTGTTTTTTTTTTTTTGTTTTTTTTTTTTTTTTTTTGTTTTTTTGTTTTTTGTTTGTTTGTTTGTTTGGGAGAGACCTCTCCTGAAAATATCAGATTAAAAAAAATCGGAGAGGGCTACATTATTGCAGCTATGATAAGGCCATTCCAAGTTTTTTTTTTTCTATGTGCAGTGTACGCGGACGAATTGGTTTTGAGGTTATGAAATTAAAAACAAACACAAATTAAAATTGACAAATGCAAAGCTTTGAAACGCAAACATAAAGTTAACTCAAATCAAAATCAACAAATACGAATCTCTGAAATGCATTTTACTCTTTTGGGATTGACATCTCTCTTTTTTTAAGTGGTGTAATATTTTTTTTTCATTTCAATAAACTATAGTAGTTTAACTAAGTTTTATGGCGAGGAGAGGTGTCAAATGATAATAAGAAATTCTAGAACTCTTCTGAAAATGCTGCGTTTTTCCCCTTTTGGTTTGTGAGTTTTCTCGGATAGGAAGAAAGGTTTTCGAATTTAGGATGGACGCTAAACAAAGAAAAAAAAATTGGAATGGCCCATCAATCAGGACTCTTATAACCGGTCTCCTCTTATGGTTTTAACATAGAAAGTGATTGTGTGTAAGTATATTGGGGATTATTCCTGGTTAGCGTATTTTACATGAACCATGCAGTAAAGCGGATCCACTGGAATGAATAAATAACGATCTATAAAAGAAATCCCAACATTTAAGAAAAAAATTATGCAGTTTAAGACACCTCATAACCCCGTTATAGTGAGTAATTTATACGTTTAATATAAAAAAAAAAATAATAGAAAATACGAAATTAATAGCGCTGCCATTTGTTGGAATGGAAAAGGGGAGTGGTGTTGATTGTTTTTTCATTGCCAAAAATCCAATTTTGACAACTTTATATGGGACGTTCCAATTTTCTTTTTAATGTTGATTCATGTATCTTTAAAAATTTAATGTAACTTCATAGACAATTCGGAAAATGATTGAAGAAATCATTAGGACATTTTTACATAAAAAAAAAATGATAAATTTGATACGAGCACAATTTTAAAAGAAGTCCTACCTTGTCTCGTCTGTTTGGATGAATCAAGCTTCATTACTTGTCTGAAGAAATCGTTTGTAATAAAATTATATTTTCCTTTAAATTATTATACTCCTTCCAGCTATCAAAGATACATTAATACGATGAATTGAAATAAAAGTTCAAAATTGTTTTTTGGAACATAAGGCAGGTTTAAGTAAATAGTTTCCGGTTCAGAGAATTGACAGATTTCTTTTAACGTAACGTTAAAATCAGTAACGCCGTGATGACGTTATCACGTCAAAATTTGTAATTTCTAAAGAAAACTCCCCTTTTTTCGAGACCTCTGCCGGAAAAACGGTTTGTGATAATTAAAAAAAATAAAATGATTTTGAAAGGACACATCGTAGGCATGTTTGTAAAAAACTGAAATCAAATTTGGAGACAGGGCCGCTCTGTTATACGTAACGTACCCAGTTCTTTCAAACATAGTAGCATTCGTATAAAAGAAATTTGATTTCTTTAATGATATCAATGTATTGTCCATTTTTTAAGAAAAAAAAATCAAAAAAACGTGTATGTAAGGGGGAGGAGGGCGGGTTGAAAAAAGAAGATGAAACACCAAACTTGAACATTCTATTTTGTGTGTTTGGAAGGAGGGGTTAAGGAGCCGCACTTCAGCACGTCTGCATCCATTTAAACAGCTAAGGAAAATAGTACTAAAGTTAATCTTGATAATTATTGATTAAAGTTTTAACTTAATGCTTAAAATGGGGCTATTTTGCCTGGACTTTCACAATACTTTGCTATAGTTGTCAGTTATGTTGATAGAATTCATGATAATTGTTCTAAACAGTTTACTGCACAAAATATTCTATCAATTTCTATGTGCAGGTTGCATGTAAAAATAGGAATCCAAACTTAACAATTACTGTAAAAACTTGGGAAGAGAAAAAAAAATTACATTTTCTTCTTAAAAAAAAACCTTCTGCCATAAAATATAGTTCCTCACTTAATGCTTTTGGTATGGAATTTAATCGTGGAATTTAAAATTACATATAATATAATTGGCATTATAGAATCCCAATTTATTATCAGAACTAAAATATTATGCAGAATTTTTTATGTAGAGGTCCGGACAAAAATCACCCCCAAGAGCTCAAGATCGAATCTCTTTAATTCCAAAATTTTTGTTACAAAAGACACCTGAAAATGTTCACATGTTTACGACACACGAAGAAAGAAAGATGACGGTTGAACAGATAGTAATATCTCACCTGAGTGATTCAGATGACCTTGAATAGCATTTTATTAAATTTTATTAAATACTACTCATATTTCATATCAAAATACTGAAAAGTTGTTGAAAGAATTGACTTATACTGGTTGTAGATTTAGAAAAAAGAGAGAGATGAAAATGGGTGTTCCTCTTTGAAAGAGAATATAATGTTCTTTAACACAGCAGTAGCTTTTTTCTACTTTAAAGGATGTAAGGAGGGCTGGGTTCAGTTTCAAAGCAAATGTTACCTTTTCTACAATACAAGTGATCGAACATGGTCGGAGGCCGCAGTAAGTATCCAGTTTCATGGAGGTTGTTCAATCTTCAGACATAAACCTATTATATATCAGCTGTTTATTTCCCACATTTTGTTTTCAGAGTGTCTGTCAAGGTTTTGACTCAATTCTAGCCGAGCCAAGAACAGAAGCTGAATCCAAATTTTTGATCAATGAAGCCAAGGGCCTCGGTAAAGTAATAATTATGATACACGAGTTCCACTTCCGCCATAGGAATAGTGTTTATTATCTTAATGTTAGCAGTTACCCTTTTTTTTCTTTATTATTATCGTCGACTTTTAGATGTATCATTATCAGTTATTATCGAAGCTTATTATGAAACTCATGAGTCAGTCTAAATCATCCTTTCACAACACTGAACTCTCCAGAACTGCTGCCATCAAAAAGCAATGTTTTACGCACCCAAAAAAAAATCCGTACATTTATATGAAGAATGTATAGATAAATAATACAACAAGGTATCTTGTTGAAATTAATGCGACAATCTGACTTGACAATTCTCATTTGGTGTAAGTTGATGCACAATTTTTTTTTCACCCGTTATGCCTGTGTATGCAGTATGTCCTTTGTTATCTCTTATTAAAGACTTCAAAATTAAATGCGTCATTTGGTAGTCTTCATATAATATCATATAATATCTATTTATACAACAGGAGGTAACTACTGGATTGGTATATCCGACATAGCAGAGGAAGGTAGATGGGAGTATTCTTCGGATCAGCAGGTTGTTACCATCAATGAGTTTTTCCCAGGGCAACCCGACGGAAATAGAATTGAAAACTGTATTATTTTGTATGAGGAATTCAACGAACAATGGGGTGATTTCGTTTGCTCACAAAGAAATTATTTCATCTGTGAAGCAAATGTAACGCACATTGTGTAAGTTGTCCTTGTAAGATGCCATTGAATATTGTACATTAAACAGGACTAGGAAAAAGATTCGATGATTTAAGAAAAGGTGAAATGAAATGAAAACTACTAGCAATATTCCACGAAAAAAAATTACAGAAGTTTATTTTTCTTGATCTATTTCTTTTTTATTTTTTAAAGGTCATATGAAACGGTTCAAAACAGTAGGATTTTACTTTTTAAACATAAAGACTTGTATGAAAGAATGTCAAATTACGTTTAGTATAAAATTTTTGGCCTTTGTTTAACTGAAAAATGGAGGCCTAAATTTGTCCACTTAATAAATTTGTTACCCGCTTATCGTTCTTGATTTTGTGTTTTTATGACGTCACAAAGTCCCATTGATGAAAATAACGCATAAGATATAGTGTAATTTTGTTATTTTATTGCGTTAATTTTAGTCATTTTTTGGGGATATAAATGTGATTATGTTTTTAGATGAGCTATCTGATTCTAAAGTACAATTTACTCTATTTAAACTAATCGTTAATTAGGCCAACAACTGAAAACGAGAGCTTTTCATCGTAGGATGATCCTGATGAATATTCCGTTGAAATCAAGATTTTTCTCCTCCAACTATGATTACTTATTTTAAATTAGTACTTTAGAAACAAAAATCTTCTTATTTCTATATGATTCATGATGTTTTTTTTTTTTTTCATTCCTAGTGAAAGTGTATAATTAACAACAAAAACAGCGTAATTAATCAACATTGACCTGAAGCTTCTTACAATAAAAATTTTAATGGGCATGCAAAATCTGTAAAATAAAGTTGTGTCATATATTGAGAGGGAAAAATATCCAGCTCAAGGGTACCCCTTATTCCCAAATAAACACGGGGATATTGAAGTTCATGATGAACATGGATCAATGAAAAGTCGGCGTATTTGAATGCACGCTTTCTGCAATCTGAAACACGAGGACTAATGTAAAACGATATAGAAATAGGGGTTTATGACGACATCATCGTAATTTTGCTGTCACAAGAAACATGATTTTAAAAAAAAAATGGCGCAAGATTACCGGCATCACGATCGCGAGTATGTACACGTACATGTATACATGTACATGTATATACATGCACTGTAATGTTACGGTACTGATACTTCTAACAGTTTGACTGAGCAATTGGAGTTTGAAAATACTCATACAGTTCGTGCATAAATTGATCAGTTAAAAAAAATCCATACCCCCCATCATTTGCGCGATTGAACCTGAACAATTTTTAAAATTAATATTTTTACAGTTAAACATTTTTTTTTTTATATCAGACTATATACTCTGTGTTGAAATAATCTGATACAAATTTAAACAATTCGGTCTGTAAATATATTCACACAGAAAAGTAGAATTGCATAGATAGAATTGTGTTTGATGTCTGACTTTTTAAAAATTATTACGATATTAAATATAGTTACAGTGTTATGTGTATACATGTACTGACTTTTTGGTAAGAAAAATATACGGGAAGAGAGAGAGAGAGAGAGTCATCGAGACAGGGAAAGCCAAAGAGAGAAAAGGGAAAGCGATTGAGAGAGTGGGAAAGCGAGAAAGCGATAGAATCATTTCATTTCCCATGAATAAATGAAATAATTTATTTGCAGGTTTAGTTTCACTTTCACACACCGCGGTCAATCGAATTCAGCTTTACTTATAAATTTTAATCAGAAAACAAATCATCAATATTCTTGTGTTAGAAATTTATTCAATTGTAAATTATTTATATCTATATTCACTTACTCTAGTACAGACTCCTTCTCTCTGTTTTCTCTTTCTCTCTCTCTCTCTCTCTCGATTGAAGTGTCGAAGGACGACAATAAATTACAAAGATAAAACATGCTAAAATCTTGCAAATATGCAATAGGATGTTAAAAGACAAATACTATCTTGTTTGAACATCGTATTTTAGCCAAGATGATGATATTTCTTAAAAATTACGCTGCAAAAGACATGATCGGTTGTATAAATGTTAGTACTGAATGTAGCGAGTGGGTCTTACTGACGTCATAAGCAAAGGGAAGTAAGCCGCGCTAGTTGAAGTTCATTTTCGCAGTCAAGTAATTTTTATCGACTCTGCTGCCGCTAACTTAAATAAAAAATCCAAAATGTAATTTCAGGCTTATTAAAGTTGCTCAGATGAACTCATTTCCGTATACAACCCAAAATGCTCAGGGCATCGTTTCATATGACCTTTAAGGGATATCAGTACAGGTAACAACCAGTGGGAGATCTCGTATGAGTGCCTATATCACATACTAAATATGATATGACGTAAAATAAATGATTATCAGAACTATTATTTATTCATAGAATAAATATGTTGCAGTCCTATCGATTTGTTTTTCCTATGTTTTGCCTCCGCGTACGATAAAACACACCAGATGAAGAAAAGAAAGGGGAAAAAAAACCCACATAATATAAGATTCTAGAAATTGAATTCTTTGGGGGTGGGGGACACCTTAAATTATACCATTTATATGTATAAAAAAGAAAAAAAAATGAGAATGATTTTTTTTTCAAATAGCTATATGGATACCAATACATTATCACTCTTTTCTTTTTATTAAAGAATATAATTTATGAGTCCTTTTGGAATTGCAGGTCACAAGAGACAGATATCTTCGGATGAAAAGTGGAAAAACAAGAGAAAATGCAATGAAAGAGAGTACCACACTTCTCTTCGTTTCAAGCTTAACTTTTCCAGGAACAATTAGCAAACATGGAGCAAGAAACATCTCCGTATCTTGACACTTGGGTTTTGAAATTGAAATAGATTTGTGTGCATTTTAGTAAACCCTACGTAACTTTTATGCAGAAGTAATTGAATTGCATATAATATGTATGTGTATTTTACCGCGGATTTGATTTTTAATGCACAACGTACAATCGCAATGTGGAGAGAAACTCGAAATCTCTCAAGATGTACTGTAAACCAACTTTAATTCGCGTGCGAGAAATATTCGCGAGTTTCGCGAATATTAATCGCCGCGAACCAAATATTTTGTATTTGTAAAGAATGTTTCCTCAGTCGCGAAAATTAATCGTCGCGGATTTATTTTAAACCTATAAATAGCGAATAAAAGACGACGCAAATAGTAGTTGGTTTACAGTATTTCATATTTAATCCTTTTAATGAAGCAAAGTTTACACGTACTGTAAATCATTTTTATACAAGAAATGTTTTCGATATCTCAGCGTTACAAAGTATGAATCTCTCAACATCTATATTTTAATCAGTGATTTTAAACAACATATCAATTTTGATCACACGGGACACTTTTCAAATCTGTGTGCAGACAGATTGGAGACAATTGAATAGTTTTATGTTTGAATGAAGTACTGTGTGTGGCGTTCCTAAACTAATGCGTGTAATAAAAGAGATACGGAAATTGATTTTTCAGTTACCACAAGGACTCTGAGTAGATTTTTTTAATGGAATCGAAAGTCCTAAAAAGGAAAAAATGAACTAAAAAAGTAAATTTTGGCCTTTTACAAGAAATAATTGAATGGATATAAGTGTGATATCTCGCCTGAGCCAGTCGAGAATTATTCTAAGTTAAAGATTACAGGGGCACATTTTTGTATTTTTTTTATTGCAGGCATGATATTTGAAAATTTCAAATTTTTGACATTTGGAATTGCAGAAAAAATTGCATTTGATACCATTTTTCATTATTTGCATGATCCACTTTTTGGATAACTTGGGCTCAGATGAGTGTTTGTTTTAAAAAGGGGAAAAAATCAGCGTCATAGTACTGCAACAGTCAAATATAAGCGCAATATATATATATATATATATATATATATATATATATATATATATATATATATATATATATATATATATATATATATATATATATATATATATATATATATATATATATCAACAGATATCAAACTGAACCTCTGAATGCATGTCACATTTTTGCACATTTTTATTGCTTCTTAATTTTTTGGGAAATCATAAATTGCTCTATTGTAGCGCATTAACATTTACAATATTTCATCTGTCGACACAATATGTATAAAACATCATTGGCTAACTTAGAATTAAATTGGAAGTGTTAAACTGCTTTTTTTCTAATAATAAATGTGTAAGATCAAAGGAATTAATTGCAACTTTTTAATTAATTGCAACTAATTACATCTTTAAGCATCGAGACAAAAAATAAATTAAATGATGTGTGCAGAAAGAAAAATAACCAGAGGAGACTAAAGAGTTTTTAGTTTCTCATGGGGATTTATATTTTT